AACTGCTTGTTTTTAAGTAAGAATGCAACTCCTTACCATAAGGTCTCCAGAGCTCCCTTTAAGAAAATTGGAATTTGTTAAGAATAATTGATGTTGTTGTTGTTATGTGCTGTCGAGTCGCTTGCGACTCATAGTGACCCTATGTACAATAGCCCTAAACCCTGCTCTATCCTGTACCAATCTCACTGCCTCTGACACACCCATCCCATTTATGCCAGTCACTGAATCAATCCACCTCATAGAGGGTCTTCCCCTTCTGTGCCGTCCCTGCACCCTCCCAAGCATGATGTCCCTTTTCAAGGACCTCTCCCTTCTTACAACATGTCCAAAGTATGTCAGACGAAGCCTCAGAATCCTTGCCTCCAAGGAGCAGCCTGGCCTAACCCTCTCCAGGATGAATCTGTTGATAGAATAAGTAATTTAATTTTCTAGGAAAAGTATCTTTTTTTTTTTTAGGAAATAAACTCTAACTTGTGTTTTGGAATTTCTCATGAATTCATAGTTGCATTTAGCTAAGATGGGATAGGAGAAAAAAGTAAAAGGTATAATTACTGATAAAGGTTATCTTTCTATAAAAATCTTACAAGGGTCTGAAAGAAAGAAATTACTTTTGTTGTGTGGCATCACGTTGGAACTAACCTATAGGAGACCCTCCAGTAGATTTTCAGATACAATAAATTACACAGGAAGAGACTGTCCATCCTTCTCCCACAGAGTAGTTGGTGGATTAGAACCATGTGCTTTTGGGATTGCAGTGCAGCTTCTTACTACTAGGCTATCAGAGCTTCCTCAATTACTTTTACATAGAAGACATTTATTAATATATAAATCCTAAAGTTGAACATCAGGTAGATTCTTATCAATTAGCACTCCAAAGAAATGGAGCACTCCCCTTTTTTTTGCAACAAACATAACTAAAAAGTAATATTCTTTACTATTACAAATAAATAATAAAGGCAGTAATATTTCATAATATTACATAAGCACAAAAATGTTGTTACCACAGACATTAACAATAACATTAGCAACAATTATTTCTGTATGTTGTTATTGTTGTGTGCTGTTGAGTTAGAATCTACCCATAGCTGACCCTCCAGTGGGTTTTCAGAAGCAGCTAATTGCATAGAAGGAGATTGCGCATCCTTCTCCAAGGAGCAGCTGATGGATTCAAACCACATACATTTGGGATTACAGCACAACGTCTTTCTTCAAGATATAGTAAGATATTAAATTTTATATTTTATTTTCTCCACATTTTATAACAAATCTTAGCTCTTTATTAGAAAGACATAATATTAAAACTTTAAAACAAGAGAGTGGCTTTATCTTAAGGGTAATTTTAAAAGAAGAAGAAATAGTAGTATTTCATTTACCTACATGTTCTTTGATTCTACACACATCAGTTTTCACAGCCACTCCAACAAGAAGATCTTGTATCACTTTCTCAGGAAAGAGCAATGCATGGGTGCCCAGGAATGACTCGAGGTGAAGTGTTAGATCACTGAGAACGCTAAGCAGAACTGTTTCATCCTGAAAGCTGGTCCACAGATTGGAAAGTGTAATGAAAATGGGCTAAGAAATAGAAACAATGTTTAAAGATTAAATTACCTAATAAAATTAGAAATCTTTGTATTTCTGAAAGGAAGTATAAAATGCCATTTGTAAAAAAAGCAATTATGAAGTTAGTCTGTAAAATCTAGACAGAAATTAAGCTCACAAATTAAGAGAAAATAAATATATATCTTATTTTAAAGAATTTAATTTTGTATACCTAAATGTTTATGGACTAAAAAAAATCCAGCCATATTTGATCACCAAATAAAAATTTATAGAAGCTTTACCAAAAATCAAGTGAAAGGGAAAATAACATTCTCTTTTTTAAAAAGATTAAATATGACTTGTCTGAATTAGATTTATTAATTTATTAATTTATTCTGGCCCAATTATAATTCTAAACAGTCTAATGACAGCCAGTTGGCAGAGGGTTGATGTCCATTAAATAAGGAATAGGTAGTTCTTTTAGAAAACATTGCTGGCAAAATTTTACCCATTTGCAGAAAAATGAAACAAGATTCATTCTTTGCACCATACACAAAAGCTAACTCAAAATGGATCAAAACTTAGATCTAAGCAATTAAGTTCACCAAAGAAAACAGGGACCAATTTCAACTCATCTCAACTCAAATCATTGTTCTTGAGTTGTAACCATTCATAGCTAACCTCCAGAGGGTGTTCATAGGCTGTAAATTGCAGAGGTGGAGAATGCTCCTCTTTCTATCTCAAATGATCTGTCGGTTTAGCAGCTAAACTCGTTACCTACTATGTCATCAGAGCTCTCTAGGTAAAAATCTAGGGACTCTGATTTATAACATAAGTAACTAAAACGACTGACAATGCCCAGACTATGTTGTTGTTGTTATGTGCTGTCAAGTCGCCTGCGACTCATAGCAACCCTATGTACAGCAGACCAAAACTCCGCTCTGTCCTGTGCCAATCGCACTGTCCCTGACACTCCCATCCCAATTATCCCAGTCACTGAATCAATCCACCTCATAG